AATTACTTAGAGGAAAAATAAATTTACTCACTCTTTCCTGAAGGGACGCAATAAATTTTTCTGCAAGCATATCCAATAGGACAAAAGCCATTATAACATGGAATGGCAGCTAAAAAAAAGCAGAAGAAAGAAATGGATAAAAGACGCAGCCAGCATATTAAGATCATTTTTTGATAATGATAAAAAAATATCAAGAAAGCGGAAAAAATGCTTAACCAAAAAGCCCTCTGATTTCATCTTTCTCCTTTACAAAAACAGACATACCAGCTGTGTACCCCACCGTACTCATAACAAAAAGGAAAAAATAAATGTTTTATTACTTCGAATCCAGCGCCAATGAGCACAGACATATCTTCTTGGACAACGTCGTTTTGATAAGCATCCACCAGCTTTAAATTTTTCATTAAATATCTGTGAATTTACCAAAAATTCAAGTTTTCGCAGACACGAAATACATATTACGTCACGATTACTTTTCGACCCCATAATTTTCCCAATAAATATTCGATAAATTTAGAATAATTACGGCAAAAAGAACCAATCTTCTTACTACACTTATTTGAGACGCAGAAAAACGAGAAAAGGAAATGGGAAAAGAATGATTAGCAACAAACCTTTACAATCAACTTTCTCTTCCGAAAAAAATAAAAAAGCAAATCTTCCTTTCTATCTTATGATGAAACAGAAAAAACGGTTTTTTCTATTACCTGCGGTGCAGTAGCCATTCCAACAGAAATATCCAATTGGACACTGTCGATAAGATGAGCACTGACTACCTTTAAAATTATTCATTAATTACTGTTGGCTGCAGCAGATCTAGTTTTCAGACAAGTAAAATACATTTTGCGTAACAATTATTTTCAAACCCCGTAATTTGACCATCAACTTTTCGATAATGTTAGAATATTGAAGCTAAAAACACTTAACTTTTACGTTACTATTATTTTGAAAAATATGAGAACATGAGGAGAAAATGAAATGTTTTACAAAAGAACCTTCATAATCGCCTCTCTCTGAAAAAAAAAGCAAAAACGCAAATCAAGCTTCTTGTCTTAAATATGACGAAACAGAAGAAACGGTTTTCTCATTACCTGCGGTGCAGTAGCCATTCCAACAGAAATATCCTCTTCGACACTGACGACTCGATGAGCACTGAGTACCTTTAAAATT